TCGCTTCCTAACTCGCTTCCTAACTCGCTTCCTAACTGGAAAGATAGGCATCCTCATTTGTATAATAGTTTAAACTGCAATATCGAACAAGAGAAAAAATGTCAGGAGTAAGAATTCAACGTCAATCACTTTTAAACCCGCTTCAACAAGTCAAAATGAAAAAAATCCCATACCTTGTCCACTTGCTGGTGCAGTAGTCTTTTTAAAAGCCAGAGGGTTGCCAGCACTACAGCTGAAGAATCCAGCGAACCGTAAAGAATATTGAGCAGCCAGTTCGTAGTCGTCACTGATACACACGTACATCCCTTCAGGGCCGAACCGCTGGGGGTATAACTTGGGAGGACAACTGGCGGTCCCTGTGACTGGGTTCATCGCTATCTTGGTGTATAAACCACCGAACAAGTAACCTGAGTGATCCTTTACTGAACCTGAATGGAAAGTGAGAAAGATATCCTAAATGTGGGGAAAAGATCAGTAGCAAGTTGAAAAGGAAGGAAGGAAGGAAGGAAGGAAGGAAGGAAGGAAGGACACATCAGAGATCAATAATCATTATTTTTCTCTCACCTGTAGCCACGCACCAATATGTGTTATATCTTGCATAGCCACAATCGTTATGGCAACTTTTGAATATCCACCAACCATGACACTCACGGTGGCACGTGGTTGGAGTGAGACCTTGGTGGAGGAGGACAGCGTTGTATCCATCAGGACATGCGTAGTCGTTTTTCTTAGGGTTTTTCTGTTGGAATGCACCACAAGGATTGGTGCTTGGGCTACCTGTGGAAACAAGGATTAATAAGACTTAAAATTGTCAAGCTAGGTAAAATATGTGATTACGAAATCATATTTAGCATATATTATATAATTGTCACTTTCAAATGTTGTTTCAGTTTCTATTCCAGGAGTTATGGGATGGTCGTTCGACCAGTTTGGTCGGTCGGACACTTTAGTAACTCTTTGTGTATTCATTCGGTCGGTCGGTTGGATAACCATTTCCTGAGCTGTTCATTCAGTAAGCCAAATAGCGAGTTACAGTCGAGCCTCTATTAAGCGTCCCTCTATTTAGCGGTCACCTTCGCTTTTCATACTGTATTTACTTTAAACTTGACCTCTATTAAGCGGTCACCTCTATTAAGCGATCACCTGATGTTTCCCCAGGGGTGACCGCTTAATAGAGGTTCGCCTGTACTTTGCTATCGCGGTCGGTAAGATATTTTGTTTTGAGATTGGCCGGAGTTAACAATGGACACTTCTTAAAAGTAATGTGGATGCAATACTAACATAGAAATAAAACACAAATCAACCTTTTTTTGATGAAATTTGTGACATTTCTTTTGCATTTTCACTTAGCCTTGCGTTTAAGACACCTTTTAGAAGAGTTCATTAGCCAGTATAAGTTAGCATCGATAACTGATCGACAAATGTTAACGTCCTTGTAATAATCACAAACATACATCGAGAATACAATGCATAAGATATCTATAATACAATATGTAATTTTTCAACAGTTCAATACCTGATATGGAGCAATTCTGAAAAACACCACCAAATGTAAAGTTAGTATAAGGAGCCTTGCAGGAATGATCGTCTAGAACCGCTTGGAAGTTGAAGTTTGGTGAGCTGGCATCTGTGCAGCCCTTGATACTGTTGTGTTTATAATAAGTCTTGATGGATTTCAGCACAAATCGACTAAGATCCAGTGCAAGAAACTCGGGAAGTTCCGGCAAGGCCTCGGGTGTGATAGTATAGTGTAGCGGATCCCCAGATCTGTCAATAGCAACTAAGTTATTTGGTAAACCATCTTCCCATTGGTTGATAGAAAAGTTGGCTCGATAGGGTGGTCCACCATAGGTGTAGATCTTTGAGTGTGCAACGTTTTTGAGATAAGTGTCCAAATCTTTTGTTTCGGTTTGGTGAGTGTACGAGGCGCTGAAGCCGAACGAGCCAAAGAAAGATGCACTCGCTGAGGCAGTGATTTTACTTTTGTCACTATTAAATGTAGCAGCGTAGGTCGATTTAACATGATCAATTTTCGCCAGAATCGCCCCAGCATCGATACTAGTCACATAGTGAGTCCCATAATCTCGTACGAGTAAGTCAGCCATGTATCGAGCCATAGCTGTGTTATTACACTGTAAATTAGCAGCGATATCGAGCAGCCTTGACTTGAAGTCTGGGTGTAACTGCATATCAGGTTGTGCTTTGACGGTGTAAAACTTGTATCTGAGCTGCACTCGAGTTGTGACTGCCTTGTCTTCCACTTGATGTTTCTTGACCGATTCGTATTCTTTTGAGAATTTCCCCCCGAGTCCAATGCCGAAAAAAGATGCATGTGCTTCTGCGTTGATAGAATTGGAAGTCATTGAAGAATAATTATTCCAGTGATCGAAAAATTCCGAATTCAAGACCACGTTGCTTTCCTTCAAGGGCACGACATAGGTGTTATCTGGGATCAAATATTTCCCATCCTCGCTCGTCAAACACTGAGAATAATTCTTCCAAACTACCATTCCCATGTTGAGATTTCTCAGATTATCCCAGCCTGTTCCGGGGAGAACCTCCATACGAAGTAAACCCTTGTTGTTTCCTTGTAGACAGTAACTTGGGTCACCAACTGGATATGTGTACTTCCAGGGTGATGGACAACTGGCAGATACATCTTTAGAACACTGTTGAACAGCCTCATCCTCTTTTCCTGCTGCAAGCCCCAGCAAAATTATGCTGATAGATATAACGACTGCTGTCTTCATGGTGCGGAAATGATATCTTGTTTTGTAAGTTGTCTTCTTATATATACATTAAGAATAACAAACATCACATGATTGTGTTGTGACACACACAAGTTGGAGCTCGTCACATGCTATTGTCTTCGAACAATAGCTAAAAAATGCTTGTGTAGCCGAAATTGTTATTCGCAATTTAAAGTAAAATTAACCTGCCCATAAGATCAAAGATATAGTCTGTTTAGCTGTTAAGAGATAAATATATTGAAATATCCTAGAAAATAATATTAATATTCGAAGGAAAACTCGACCTAAACTAGCCTTGATATCGTGAAGGGAAAATCCCTTCTGGTTTCCGGGTCACGACTCTATTTAATATTTTCACTTTAAGGTTTTCTTTTTCTTGGTTTCGACTGTTGATATTAAAAATATTTAAGGTTTTTTACTAGTGTTTGTGTTTTCTCATAGAATGGCGTGAGAATAATGTATTTGGACATGTTTCTTTTGTTTTCTACGTAATTAAAGTGTATATTTTGACTCTGGAATCTAATTATTGGCAGCATTGGGGGTTTTCCCTTAACAGTGGACTTTATGTACAATTCTCGAGTTTCAGCATCTGTTTGAGATTCTAGAAATACCGTTGCTCTGCGTTTGATTAAGGGAAACTGAAAATCAAGGGGACTTGTTTGGTAATGGATATTTTCCTTTCCAAAGACAACATCTGCGTACGACATGCTTCGATGCTCATTATATAGTCTCGACAGAGTGAAATTGGGCAATAGACTATCGTCAACCAACGTCTCACGTCACGGTTTCTAGTTGAGCTGGCTCATCTTACACGACTTGAAGTTGTGAAAAGCCCATCGGCACTCATCTTCAGTCGTTTCATACAAGGCTCGTAATTTAACTATTACGCATGTTCTTATACGATTTCCGAGCCCATCCCACACGGCTTACAGACTCATCTTCGGTCTTGGAATACATTATTCAGTATGCAGTATTCAGTATTCAACCTTTTTTGAAATAGCTG